CGATATCTGAGGAAGCCTTCGTCACAGTCGTTATCTCCGGCCTTGGTCCTCACTGGCGCTCCATTCGCGCCATACTCCGAGCTCATGGAAAAATCTCTGAAGCAGCACCCTGCGCCGAAATACACGCCGAACAACAGGACATGGACCTGCACGAGGAGCGGCACAAGAAGAAAACGTCAGTACCCGAATTTGCATTCCACACTCAACGGCGCTACAACAACAACAACAACAACCGACATCAACCAAAGCCCGTACCTCCGTTCTGTCATCTTTGCAAGACATCAGGACACCCTCGCACACACTGCCCGAATCGACAGCAGCCAACAGCGCCGCAACGTCAACTTCGTCCTTCAAGCAGCCAAGTAGCATCCACACAGGCGCACCCCACGAGTCAGACGCAGTCTTCAACTACATCACCGACACAACCTGCACAAGGAGCAAGAAACATCGTAAGCTACATGGCGAGACTGTCAGATTCCTGCATCACCGAATCACCACCTCACTACTCACCAGAAGAACTGCTAGATGAAAGCACTCCTCGTCGTGAAGCACTGGAGTCGAACCCGACATACGCAGCCATCGCCCAGAGCGAGCCGTCCGGGAAGGACACTTGGTTCTTGGACAGCTGGTGCGGACAACATATGTGCTCCTCGGGTCGCTTCGTTCAACGCGAACATCAACTCCAGCGCGAAGTCGTCATCACCGTCGCCAATAATCAGAATCTGCGCACACGACGACAAGGAGTTGTTCAACTTCAATCAAGAGAAACAAACGTAATACTGCAGATGTCAAAGGTCTTAATCGCGGAGGGACTCGGCTACAACCTACTGAGTGTGAGTCAATTGATGGCGAAAGGGATTCACGTCAAAGCAGACAGCACCACCCAGGAGTTTAAGTTGTACCACGGGAGAGGCGGACTCTACATCGGAAAAGCTGTATTGAAGAACAACGTCTTCGTCCTCGACTTCGTTCCAGATCTTGGCATCGCCGACAGCGACGGAATTGTGACTTTCACCTCCTGGACACACCCCCCGGATCTTGATCCCGACTTCAGTCCGGGCGGCTTCTGGTATTTACACACCATACCTGAAACAGAAAGAACAAGAGCATTAGCAACAATTCAATCGGCAGCAGCAGAGACAACATCGGCAGCAGCAGAGACAACATCGGCAGCAGCAGAGACAACATCGGCAGCAGCAGAGACAACATCGGCAGCAGGAGAGACAACTTCGGCAGCAGCAGAAACAACATCGGCAGTAGCAGAGACAACATTGGCACCAATCGCTGGCCCTTCAACGGCACCAGTCTTCGTCGACAACACACCACCGACTCCCGCGCAGCAGCTAAATCCAACTCCACGGGAAGTCCATCGAAGCGCAAACTTCACCGCAGGCTTCTACTCCAACTCCGACCTGTACAGACGTTCACCCGGACATCGCGCCACTGAAGGAACCTGGCACGCAAGAATGGGACATCCAGGCAACACGACGTTAAATAGCACGATAAGAGTAGGCGTGCTCGACAAAGACTCACTACTACTAACCGACGGCAGGGAACTCCAACGAGTCCGCGGAACATGCTTTACCTGTCCTGAAGCTGACTTACCGCATCAGCCGTTCGTCTCGCACCACAACCCGAACGCACCACCATACGCACCTCTGGAGAAAGTGTACAGTGACATCCTGTACAACCGCGAACCTGGACAAGGAGCATACAATTACGTCATCACGTTCATCGATGCCGCCACACGATACGTCTGGCACCTCAGTCTTCCGAGCCGCGACATGGCCTTTGAAGCCTTCGTCACCTGGCTTCCAGTAGCAGAACGAGAATCAGGAGTGAAGCTAAAAAGCTTCCAGTCACACGGAGGAGGGGAATATCAATCACAAAGGTTCAAGGACTACCTGGCAGAAAGAGGCATCAAGCGGCTCATCTCCCTTCCCTACTCTCACCAACAGCAGGGCGTGGCAGAAATAATAAACAGGACTCTTCAGAACACCATGCGCAAGCTGCTACGTGGCATGCGGCTACCCAACCACCAGTGGCCCGAAGCAATGGACCACGCCGTCATGCTGCACAACTTGCTCTCGTCATCATCGCTCCCAAACAACGCATCACCGCACCTGCTGTGGACAGGAAAACTGGGCAGCACAAAAATGTTGCGAGTTTTTGGCTGCATGGTACAGTACCGACCCCCATCTGCAAGAGCCGGCCGATTCTCCCAACGCGCACAGTGGGGACTACACCTGGGCATAGAAAAACATTACAACGCATGGAAGATTTTCGACATCAACACAAAGGAAACAGTGGCGGCACGTGATGTCATCTTCTACGAAAACCTCACTCTTCGGACATACCTTGCCAACGTGGAAGAAGGAAACCCAGACCTCTCGAGCGGATTTCTTGGCACCTGAGCCTTCGCCTCGGCAGAGGATGAAGCTGACTGGGACGAGCAGAACGTGGACAGAGCTTCGGAGGAAGCCGGACCTCTTCCCTACTGTTCAGTTGACGTACCGATGGACGACGAAAATCCTCGCGAAAGCATCAACGCCGAAGTTTACTACCACTTCGCCGACAACGGTTACGTTACACCTGCAAGAGTCAATACCAACAAAGCAGAACGTGTAGGACCCAACTTCGTACCTGATCCTGAAGCGGGAGACGAAGCAGTCTATCCCGAGGACACATCTCTTCCCCGCTACACACAGAGCGGACTCCAGATACTTGGCCTCGTCATCGCGGTTCACGGCACGGCGATTCGTAAGGAGCCAGCCACAGTTCAGCAGGCTCTGGGAGGGGAGCATAGGGAAAAATGGCGCGAAGCCATGAACAGGGAGCTGAAAGCGCTGGAAGAACGGAACACCTGGAAAATCGTTCCCATCGGCGTGGCACGCAACAAAACGGTACTCACCGGAAAATGGGTCTTCCGTGTGAAAACAAAGGCAGACGGCACCATCGACAAGTTTAAGGCGCGCTGGGTCGTACACGGTTTCGACCAAGAGCACGGACGCGATTTCACCGAGACGTTTGCACCGGTCAGCCGACATACTTCGCTGCGAATTCTCCTCGCGATCGCCGCCATGAAGAAGAAGAAACTATGGCAAATCGACGTCGCCAATGCCTTTCTCTACGCACCTGTTGACGCGAAAATCTTCGTCGAGCTACCACACGGATCAAACGGAGATCCTAACCAAGTCTGTCAGCTGCTTTAGTCCTTGTACAACATTAAACACGCTCCGAGACTATGGCAACAGTACCTGCACGCTAGACTCGTCCGCATCGGATTCCGCCAGCTACCACACGACCAGGGCATGTACCGAGTCACAAAGGGCACCGACTACATCTTACTGATCGTCTATGTAGATGACCTACTCTACATTGGCTCGACCGACGGCGTTACTACCTGGTTCGAAGGGGAGCTGCAGCGGGATCTTACTCTCACGGTGTCATCGACCGTCACGCAATACCTTGGCCTCAACATTCAGGAAGAGGAAAGTGCAATCTACCTCAGCGCTGCGAAATACACCGACACCATCGCCAAACGCTTCGGACTCACCCCGACCGCCATCTCCACGCCATACCGCTACACCACCGGAAGTCACAAGGAAGGCTCCGCTCCGTTCAAGCCCGCAGGCATACGCGACTACCAGAGAAAGCTAGGATGCCTCCTCTTCGCAGCCGTTACCTGTCATCCGGATCTATCATACTCTGCAAGTCAACTCGCCACCTACCTCAAGAAACCTGAAGCGGAACACATGGCGGAGCTCGACCGCGCTCTTCACTACCTCGTCAGCACCCCGACGATCGGCCTAACCTACCACAAGACCGGAACTACAACACCTAAGTTAATCGGCTATGTCGACGCTGATCACGCCGGCGACTCTGACAACAGGCGCTCGCGCACCGGCTACATCTACCGACTCGAGCCTATCGGACCTATCTCGTGGCAGTCGAGCAAGCAGGAACTAATTGCCCTCTCCTCAGCTGAATCAGAATACATTGCACTCTGCTCAGCCACCAAGGAAGGACTGTACCTTCGCGAACTGCTAGAAGAAGCGAAGCTGGCCCAGTTACCCAGCTTCTCCCTGTTCTGCGACAACCAGTCTGCAATCCGCATAGCCAACAAGAATGGATTCGCGAACAGAACGAAGCACATCGCCCTGCGATATTTCTTCGTGAAGGACGAGATCGAGAAGGGGAGACTCGAGCTGTCCCACTGCCCCACGTCTGAGATGGCAGCTGATTACTTGACCAAGAAGCTCGGAAAGCAGAAGTTCGAGTACTGCATGCTGCTGACTGGACAAAGCCACGTCACCAGCAGCGACACTCCAGAAGCGAAGGGGAGTGTTGGAAACAAGTAATTTAAGCGCTTCTGTCGTGTGACGAAACACTAAGTCGTAACGAAGCAAAGCACAAACGAAGCATTGGCGAGTCAACCATCGGAGGTTGACAACTGAAGCAACAGCTGGAGGTTACGCGAAGGTCAAAGGTCAGCGACCTTTGAATTGACAAATACAGCGCGACAGCAAGGACAAACAACTGACTCGATACAGAGCAGTTGCCCAAGTCGTCACTGTATCGAACCGCAACAGCAACAGTAAAACAATTATTAGCTGTATCTCTTCATATTCCTTGTACGGTACTCTTATAAAACCTTGTATTTTCTTGTTTTAATCAATCTACTTTGCCCTCACATACCAGCGCAAGGTGGTTCAATACTCTTATTAAAACGCTTCCGCAACTACAACATTCCTACTCAGAGTTCAGTCCTGTAAAGATCCTAAGGGCTTTTTCTCAGCCCAACAGTTGCTAAGCACACCCTGATAAAAAGGAATCGGAATGTTTTACCCTGCTCTTGGGAGGTCTGGACAGGACTCAGGGGGGTCCTTCACCCGTGAGACTAGGGTGCTGTCTTGTACAACTGAACGCCCGGTACCATGAGAATAAATAAGCTGCAACGCAACCCACGTATACACAACGGTTGCATGCTAGCTCATCACTCACTCATCAGCAACCTTAGCCTTCTTGCTCTTTTTCTTCTTCCGCTTCTTGCCCTTCTTGCTCTTCTTCTTGCCCGAAGCCTTCTTCTTCTTGGCCTTCACCCTCCCCTCCTCCACTGCATCACCCGCCTCCACGTCCTCACTCTTGCCTGCTTTGCCACCACTCACAATCACACTCCCACCATCACCCTCACCCTCACCGCCACTCCTCCCTTGATCCGTCGCAACACCGGCGTCTGTCTCCGCGCCTGCAGCTTCCACATCACCACCCCCATTCACTGCCCTGATCTCACTGCCACTCCCCTCCTCCGCCTCCTTCGCCTCCCCTCCCCTCTCAGCACCAGATCCAGAATCGCTCTCCTCCTCTGCCTCCTTACCACCCCCCACGCCCTTACCTTCCCCGCCACCAGCACTGCCCCCCTCACCCTCATCTGCAGCGCCCTGCCCCTCCCCATGCCCCGCATCACTGCCCGTTTCCTTATCAGCCATCCCGATGCCCTTCTCACTCTCCTCATCACCTCTGCTCCCCACGCCTCCCGTGCCCTCCTCCTCACCATCAGTCAGACTCCCACGCTTACCACCATCCCCGTTGCTTTCGCTCTCGCCCTCACTACTCTCTGCCACACTGCTCGAGCTGCTGTCTTCACCGGCCTCTCTCGAGCCCTTGTCACTTTCCCCGTCATTCCCATCCGCCATCCCCTCACCCCTTCCACCATCACCATCGCCACCATCACCATCGCCACCACCAGCATCGCTAGCCTCGGAAGTCACCTTGGTGCTGCCACCCGCACTTGCCTCTACTTCTCCTCCAGACGACTCCCCACTCTCCTTTCCACGCACCTCCCGCGCCTCGTCGTCTGCCCCGCCATCGTCGGCCGTCCCTCCCCCGCCACCGCCCTCACCACCGCCTCCCCCAGCTGCGCCACCACCACCGTCACTCCGCACACGTCCGCCTCCCTCGTCCCCTCCTGCGTCGCTCTCCGTCCCGCCGCCACCTCCGCCAGCATCCGCCCCACCGCCGCTCACGCGTAACTCCCTCGCCACCTCACCAACGCCGCTTGTGACATCCCCCCCACTCCCCCCTCCCCCGCCCTCGACGTCGAGCGCAGGGTGCTGCTGCTGCTGCTCCTCGCGCTGCTGCTGCGCCTGCTCCTGGCGCTCCTGGCGCTGCAGGCGGTAGAGGAACAGCAGCGACACCACGAACGCCACTGCCAGCGAGTTCACCAGATACCGCGGCGTGTCGCCGCCCGCGCGCGTGCCGCTGCCGCGCAGCGAACCCCGCCGCAGCCTCATGACGGAACGTCGCGCGCGGAATCAATCAAACGATGGCCGGCACAGCAGCGAAACCGGCGACGGGAGACATGCCCCGCGGGTGGCGCAGGCGCGACCGCGGCTGACAGTAGTGCGGCTCCTGGGAAGGGCGGGAGGTGGGGACTCAGGGAGGGGAGTAGGAGGAGGGGACACGTGGGAACGAGCGGCGGCAAGCGCACTGGCACGGCGCGCGGGAAGGCGACGAGGTCTAGTAAGGTTGGCTGGTGGCTTCCGGGATGGCGCAGGCGAGAAAGGAACAGAGGGGATCTCGTGGACAGTGTGAGAAGAAGCGCGACATATGGAGCCCCAAGAGGGCTTCCTTCACAAAACGAGGCGTTATTTCGCGTTTCTTTACAACTCCCCAACAGCCTACCTGCTCGGCCGTGCGATTGATGGAGAATGTAGCGCGGAGAGGCGACGGGATGGGCCCGAGAGTGATCGGCGGAACGGAGAATGGGTATGGATGAAGAGCGACGAAAGGGTGGATGAAAGAATGGAAAGATGGGAATGGAGATGGCGATGGAGAGGAGAACGATGAAAGCGGAGGGAGATGCAACCCAACAGCTTGGAGGGAGGGTGTTAGGGCGTGGAACATTTGGCCTATATTTCGGAACGAATGAACGGTTCGGAAACATTACCGCTCTGAAACGTTTTGAAACGACTTGAACAATGGGTCTGGCAAATGGACCATTTGAAACATTTCCCAAATGTTCCACGCCCTTGAGCAATTGAGCGATCTAGCGAGAATCGCACTTTCAAAGCAAAACACTACATTGAGCGAAGAAATGAGCGAAGATTACAAAGCGAAGCTAGCATGGTAACGGTAACGCGAGGAATTGGGGTGCGCTAAGGGCCTAGCGCTGGGGTTGGGAAATGTCGAGGCGGAGGTCCGGAGCGCGGGTTACAAACCGAACCATGAGGTTGGGTCGCGTTGTGAACAGTGGCGGGAACAGTAGTCGAGACGAGTGTCACGAGTGGTAACGATACACCGTTGGGTACTATTGGCGGGAATCGTCACGTACGCGATAAGCAGGGCGAAGAGCTCCTTAAACGCGTTGAAAAAGTACCCCACACCACCGTCCTCTAGACGCTCTTTAGCTTCAGCCCTTATTATCTCTCGACTCGCTTCATCCAGAACATGAAGCAATCGAAGGCGCGCGAACGGCTGTCGATGTTGATGGCCCAGGCGTAGCGCGTGCTGGCGTTGATGAACGTCATAGTGTTGTATTCGTTGTCCAGCCCACCTTGACTTAGAATTATGAAGTCAATGTAGACCTTTTTTAGTGGCTCCTATCGCTCGTAGCCCGGAGGTAAGTATGGAAAGGCTTGTGAGCGAGCGATGTGGTGGGGCAGAGTGCACAGCGGGTCGTCTGATGTTGTTTTGAGTGTGTCGCCGTTAGGTAGGAGCAGTCCACTTGCGTCTAAAACGTTAGCGGCAATTGGATTCTTGAGTGTTGCATGTGAAGGGTGTCCGAGTCGCTAATGCCAGATGTCTGGGGTGGCACGATATCCGACAGTGCGCTTGCAATATCGGTTTCTCTGTTCTCCCTCTTGCTGTGGTGTCGCATGTCCTTTATCGACGGCAGCTCGTACGTCCACTGCAAAGGCTTGAGTGGAGGTTGGTGAAGATCAGCTTCGGAGATGCCGAAGACGTTAGTTGCGTCGGCGACGTGAATTGAGTCGTCGGCGATTGGCAGGAGTTGCTGAGGCGGTGTCGCTTCTGGCCACTCAGAAGCGGGGAGTCCGTCCATCGGGATTCAGTGGTAAAGGTACTCGTTGCCTGTGATTGAGATTAGCTGTGGTCCTTCTTCTGGCGGTGCCGGCTCCTCCGTAGGTTCAGGTAGTTCTGCTGCTTCTCCGAAATCATACACCATTCTTTCTGACTCTTCCTCTTCTTCCAATGTTGGTTCGTAGGGAGATTGTCTTGGGAGAGGAGGTCCACCTCAACTGGTGCCGCGTGTTGCCCAGTAGGGATCTGCTTCCGCCACTGCTTCATGGGGTGTCAAATGATATATATGCTACATATGCTTAGGCTGTAGGGGGGAGCCAATATGGGGTACAACCCACATTAGGGTTACATATTTGTACCTCATTCTTTCATAGTTCATCCATTCCTGCTGCTAGATTCTAACATGGTTTCAGAGCACTAGGTCCGTAGGACCGTTTTTTTTTCGGGCCCACCTACCGTTGCGGTTACCACGCTACCCCACATATTGTCCTACGCCTGCCTGCCTTGCCTTGTGACGTGCTGCGCTGCGCGCGCCGTCCTGCAGCCCTCGCGCTGCCTACTGCTGCCCTAGGCCAGCGCGCCGCCCCTGCAGGCCCGTAAGGCCCGCGCGCCGCCCCTACAGCCTCGTAAGGCCCGTGCGCCGCCCCTGCAAGCCCGTCAGGCCCGTTAGCCGCCCCTGCAGGCCCGTCAGGCCCGCGAGCCGCCCCTGCAGGCCCGTCAGGCCAGAGCGCCGCCCCTACAGGCCCGTCAGGCCAGAGCGCCGCCCCTGCAGGCTCGTCAGGCCGCCAGCCGTCCCTGCAGGCCCGTCAGGCCCGCTACCCGCCCCTGCAGGCCCGTCAGGCCCGCGAACCGCCCCTGCAGGCCCGTCAGGCCAGGTCGCCGCCCCGCGCGTCGCGCCCGCTGCCCGCGCGTCGCGCTGCAGCCCCGCGCGTCGCGTCCGCGGCCCGCGCGTTGCGCTGCAGCCCTGCGCGTCGCGCCCGCTGCCCGCGCGTCGCGCTGCAGCCCCTCGCGTCGCGTTCGCTGCCCGCGCGTCGCGCTGCAGCCCCGCGCGCCGCGTTCGCTGCCCGCGCGTCGCGCTGCAGCCCCGCGCGCCGCGCCCGCAGCACGCGCAGCGCGCTGCAGCCTCGCGCGCCGCGGCTGCCCCTGTTCCTCGCGGCTGCCCCTGGACGCCGCCCTGCAACAGCTGCCACCGTCGCTCCTGCAGCAGCTGCCACGGAGCGCCCTGCCACAGTCGCGGCCCTGCCCAGCAGCAGCTGCCGCGGAGCCTTCTGCCGCCGTCGCGGCCCTGCCTTGCAGCAGCTGTCGCGGAGCCTCCTGTCGCGGTCGTGGCCCTGCCCTGCAGCAGCTGCCGCGGAGCCTCCTACCGCGTTCGCGGCCCCGCCCTGCAGCAGCTGCCGCGGAGCCTTCTGCCGCCATTGCGGCCCCGCCCTGCAGCTGTCACGGCCCCGCCCTGCAGCAGCTGTCGCAGACCTGCCCTACCGCCGACGCGGCCCTGCTCTGCCGCAGCTGTAGCGGCCCCGCCGTCGCCGCCATCGTGCGCCTGCCCTTCCCGCCACTGGTGAGCACCTACCTTGTTCGTGCGCTGCCGCCTGCCTGCCTGCCTGCCTGCCTCCCTGCCTGCCGGCCTGCCTGCCTGCCTGCCTGCCGCGCCTGCCCTGCACGCGCTGCTGCTGCTACTACTGCTATTGCTACTGCTACTGCTACTGCTGCTACTGACAGTGGCCAGATGCAGCTCCAACGACGTCCGCGTGAGTCCCTCACGCCCCAGCAGCTTAGTGACTGGTAAGCTAGTTGGGGTTGTAGGGGTGGCCGCGCTGCTACTGCTGCTACTGCTGCTACTGCTGTTACTGCTGCTACTACTGCTACTACTGCTACTGCTGCTACTGGCGGTGGCCAGATGCAGCTCCAGCGACGTCCGCGCGAGTCTCGCACGCCCCAGCAGCTTAGTGAGTGGTACGCTAGTTGGGGTTGTCGCGGTAGCCGTCGTAGCTGTCGCCCTGGTGCTGGTCAGTTGGGAGAGTCTGGCAGTGGCCAGCTGCAGCTGCAGCGGCGTCCACGCGAGACACTTACGTCCCGGCAGCTTCACGAGTGGTACGCTCAGAGTAGAGGGTCTCTGAGTACCGTTCGCTGCCCGTACGTCATTCGCACTGGTGCTCGGACTGGTCAGGCTTGCGGGACGCTCAGTCACACACAGTCCCGTTGCTTCGCCCGTCTGAGCGACGCCTCACGTACCGAGTTTGGCGTCGAGGCTGAGCTCCCCGACTGGGTGGAGCTGCTTGGGCAGAGGGTAGATATCTTTGCTCTTGACTATGATGCTATTCTCACTGCCATGTATGCATTGCCTACTAGTGCTGACCGTGCCTGTTACCTGTGCGTACCGCCTGACCCAGGTATAGAGCCTGCTGCTCTAGGTGCTGGTGAGGCTGCTGCTCTAGGGGCTAGTGTGTCTCCTGCTCCAGGTGCTGGTGAGTCTGCTCTCTCTGGTACTGCGCCCGCTCAGGCCTTGTACACCTTCACACTTGACTCTGGTGCTTCTCGCTGCTTCTTTCGCGACAGCACCTCCCTCACGCCGCTCAGTCGGCCGGTTCCAGTCTCCCTGGCAGACCCCTCTGGGGGTCCCGTCCGTGCGACCTCTTCCACTGTCCTCCCTTGTCCTGCTGTCCCGTCCGGCACACTGTCGGGTCTTCACCTCCCCTCGTTCTCTACGAACTTGGTGGCGGGTTCTGCGCTCCAGGACGCGGGTGTTCACCAGTTCACCCCTGCCTACGAGCTTGTGACACACTGCACGTGTGCTCAGATAGGTCGTCACCTGGCTACCTTCACTCGGCAGCCGGGGTCGGGCCTGTACACACTGACCACTGAGTCCCCTCAGGTAGCTGCGTTTGCGTCTGCGTCGGGTCAGTTGTCGGCCCCCTGCTCGTGTCGCGCCTTGTCGCACCAGACCCTCCTTTGGCACCACCGCCTTGGTCACCCCTCGGTGCAGCGCCTTCGCAGCATGCACCGCCGTGTCCTTGTCTCTGGTCTTCCCAGGGTTCTCCCTCCCCTCCCACCCTCGCCTGCTCCTCCCTGTCTTCCCTGTGTCGAGGGGCGGCAACGTGCCGCTCCTCACTCCTCCTCGTTCCCTCCCACAGAGGCTCCCCTGCAGACTCTCCACCTGGACGTGTGGGGCCCAGCCCGCGTCCGTGGACAGGACCACGAGCGGTACTTCCTGCTGGTCGTCGACGACTACACGCGCTACACCACGGTCTTCCCCTTGCGCACCAAGGGTGAGGTCCCTGATGTTTTGATCCCCTGGATCCACGCTGCTCGTCTCCAGCTCCGCGAGCGGTTCGGGACGGAGTTTCCCGTCCTGCGTCTGCACTCTGACAGAGGTGGTGAGTTTTCCTCCGACCTCTTGGCAGCCTTCTGTGAGGAGCACGGCATCACCCAGTCGTTCACGCTTCCGGCCTCTCCGCAGCAGAATGGGGTTGCTGAGCGCCGCATTGGCTTAGTCATGGAGGTCGCTCGTACCTCCATGATCCATGCGGCTGCCCCCCATTTTCTGTGGCCGTTTGCGGTCCGGTACGCCGCGCATCAGCTCAACCTCTGGCCCCCGAGACCTCGCCCACACTGTTGTGGACGGGGAAGGTTGGCGATGCGTCGCGTTTCCGGGTCTGGGGTGCTCGTGCCTTTGTCCGCGATACCACCGCGGACAAGCTCTCCGCCCGCGCTGTTCCCTGTGTCTTCCTTGGCTTTGTCCCTGACGCGCCTGGTTGGCAGTTTTACCACCCCACCTCGCGCCGTGTCTTCCCCTCTCAGGACGTCACATTCGACGAGTCGGTTCCCTTTTACCGTCTCTTCCCCTACCGCACTGCCCCTCTCCCCTC